GGATTTAGGGTTTAAGGCTTTAGGGATTTAGGGGTTTAGGGGCTCTTCGGGGTTTAGGGCTTAGGATGCGTGCGGGGTGCCGCCGCCCCCTGCCAGGCCGGCGGCACAAGCAACGCCTGGTGATTGTGGCAGCTTGGCGGATGGAGAAGCCGCATAGAACGTTTTAGGGTCTTTGGGGCTTCAGGGTTCTAATTAATAGTAGCGGTTAGGACTGTTAACTGTTAGGGTGCTTAGGGACTGGAGATGTCCAGCGTTGAGCAACGTGGAAAGCTCAGGTTCGAGCCTTCAGCTGGTCTCAGGCGTCTCAGGCGCACCGGTTAGGGTTTAGGGCGCACAGCGTAAACCCTAAACGACACTAAGCCCAAAGCGGATCAGCCGGCGCCCGGGAGTTGGTTGTAGATTTGACACTCTGTAGACAAGCTAAGGGCAGTGGATACAGCTTTCAGTTTGCAACTTCGGCCACGCCGCGCGGTGGATTCCCACAGATTCCGTCTTGACTATAACTAGAGATGCTGGTACTGCTAGTGGAGTGGACTGATCCTCACTACGGTCTCACTTCGTATCACCTTACGCTTACGAACGAGACTTTCCTTTGCCAGTCCCCCCAGCCCCTAAACCCCAAGCCCTAGCGACTTAAGCCCCTGCGCCCCAAACCCCTGCACCCTAAAACGCCTTACCAGCTGCAACGGCCTTGACCTTGGTCGTCTAATATAGGGGCCTGAAGAATTACCTATGATATGTTATTTTGGGGGTTCCGTATTATGATTAGAGTATAATGTACCCCAAAGCCCTATTCTAATTATTCAGGCCCCTACATTGCGGAGTCTTGAGTTTCCATGAAGGTTTGCACATCCAACCGCCCCCTGAAACGAGGATGCTTTCATGTTGCCCCTGAACCTCAAAAACCTCGACCACTCCTAAACTCCGAAAGCGATTCCCACGTACCATGCCATGAACCCGAAATCCTAAACCCTCGCGCTGTGACCAAATTCTGCAGCATGACTCGCGCCTTTGATTTCAGAGGCTTGTCCCTCAGGGGACCGTTCTTGGGGGTGTAGGCTTGGGTTGAGGGTTCCAAATTTCGAAGTTTTCGGCTATAAGTTCTTATGTTTGAGGGCTTCAGGTTTTGGGGCTAGGTCGCAGCGTAACTCAAGTTGGACGGATCACGGACAGGCGTGTCGATGGTGAACATGTCCATGTCTGAGTCAGCTCTTGCTTTGCTGCAGGGCTTGGGGCCTTTAAAGTTTAGGTTGTAGGGCCCTAAACCCTAAACCCTAAACAGTTGTAGGGGTGGGTTTAGGGTTCGGAGCCGTTTTGTACATCCCAGCCATGAGCCCCGAAGAAGAGCTGGCCGTGTGCCGGGCCATCCAGGACTCTCTGAAACCCGGTCGCTTAGTGGGTGTTAGGGTTTAGGGGTTTAGGGTTTAGGGTACGTTTTCCCGTATCGTGGTTCTAGGTGCTCACTAGGTTCCTTCCAAAACACAGCTACCCCCCTTTTAATCCTAGGTCTCCTTTTTGCGAGCCTAGGAAATCGATCGCCGCGGACCTGCGGCAGGCCGTGAAGGAAAGTCTGGGGGCTCCTTGGCCCTCAGTGAGGAGCCAGGGTTTAGGGATTAGGGTTTAGGGTTTAGAGCAACAAGGGCAGATAGAAGTAGTGATAGGTGCTTTCGAAAAGGAACTAGAATGGGGACTTTGGATAACAGAAATAGTACTAGGTAATTTCGAAAAGGAACTAGAATGGGGACTTTGGACTATAGAAGTAGTAATAGGTAATTTCGAAAAGGAACTAGAATGGGGACTTTGGGTAATAGTAGCAATAGCTAGTAAGTAGTCATGGTCATAGAAATAGGTTTAGTAATCGTCATAGTGTTCAGTAACAGTAAGGGAACGTAGGATTTGGGCCGTAAGCGGCTTTAGTGCTAACTTACGACACAGAGACACAGTTCGGAGGATGCTTCGCTCTTGAATACTTGGCTAAACAGGGTAAGGAACTGAATAATGTACAGCTGGCAGGGTTTGAGGCTTAGAGAACCCGAAAACCCTAAGCCCTAAAACCCTAAAGCCCCCAGAAACCTTAAATCATTAATCCACTACACACCCTAATTTGCTTAAGTTCCTGCAACAGAGCTCAGGAGGCCTTGCAGGAGGCTCTCGCCCAAGAGCTTCAGAAGGCCTTCGGGGGCTGAGAAGGTAACCTTTAAGCTGTTGGTGCCCTGGTTTTCATCCTACCATAAAATTGAAGGGTTCCTACACCCCTAAAGGGCCCTAAACCCTAAAGCCTAAATTGACTTCTGTTTTGAGCTAGGGTATTCAGCCCCTGTAAGGCCCTCTCGCCGGAGTTGGCGGCATTGCGAGAGGAGCTGCGGGTCACAGGATCGTCGACCGTGGCAGCGTCCACGCCGCGGCTGCGGCGCAAGCTCAGCAATGCCAGCCTGGTCAGCAACAGCAGCGCCGAAAAGATCTCAAGTCGGACTCGGCGGCCCTCTCTCATGGCGCTGATTCCCAAGCAGATTACGCCGCAGATCTCAGGGCTACCCAGGTCGCGGACCGCCTCGGTGGCAAGCATTGACAACAACCTGTCGTCCTCCAGCCATGAGCACGATCCGAGGCCGACGAGCTATGAGCACGATCCGAGGCCGACGATGCCAAACTCTAAAGCCTACAGCCCATTCCCCAAAATTATGCAATCTGCAACCCTGATCTTTATTTCCCTAAACTCTAACACAGAAATCTGAATAGCAGTGATAGCAACAATACCAGTAATGATAATATCAATACCAGTAACAATAACAATAACCATTATATGTAGAACGACACTTGAAATCTTCATACTAATGAGACGAAGAATTTTTTAAAAAAATCCTTGAATCCTTCAACCCCGAGGTCCCTACCAAGCGGGCGCTGGGCCATGGCTGACACTCAAGAATCCACGAGGTCAGAGCCTGTGCTGCCACCCCCCTATCAAGCACCAGTTTTAACGCCGGCTCTCTCGCAGTCCTTGGTGAAGGACCAGGAGGACAGCGACGAAGACTTAGGGGATATCGCTGAGGACATGGCAGGAGAGGGCGCTGATAGCTTGGCCGTAATCCCCGGCCCAAACGATGCCAGGGCACCAGCAACTTGGCAGTCGAGTAAGTAGCTTCTTGACCTGTATCAATGACCTAAACCCTAAGCTCCTAAGCCCCCAACCCTAACTGCAATAAATCGAAAAAGATGAGCCTTGAGATCCTCTAAGAACCTCTCTGAGCCCTAACCTTCCTCGAATAGCAAAAATCGGAACAGACTCCGACAAGAAGCGAACCTTCAGTTTTTTGGGAAAAATCCTGACAGCAGCCCCCTAAAACCCCCGAAGAAAGCCAAAAGCGTTCGAACAGCTCAGCATTTTCACGGCGGAAGAATTCGTCGTACTTTCCCCTCCCTGTTCTTCGATAATGATACTGTAGTCTACTCCGAAAACCCACTCTTATGATTAGGGGCCTTCATGTCCACCCCTGTGATTGCAAAACCAACAGCAACATCGAACAATATGTAACGACCCATACCGTAAGTACCTATGAAAACCCACTGAAAAGCCTCGAAAGACCCTAGACCCCAAACCCTTTGAAAAGCCTCGAAAGACCTGTGTCAACCCCCCAAGCCCTGATGCCGTCAGTGAGGCGATCACAAGGAGGCAGAGTATGACAATCCTACCAGAGGCCTTCGAGCTTCCGCGCCTTCGGCTCTTCTTAGGCTGAAAGGTTCAGGATTTAGGTTTTAGGTTTGGGATTTAGGGTTTTGGGTTTAGGGTCGGGCCTTTTGAAGCTGCCACAGAAAGGTCGGAAAGTGGGCTTTAGCAGGCTTTGTGTCAAAATTGAGACATGCGGGTTATATGAGGGATACTACTTGTTGTT